AAGTCCAAAAAATACAAATGAAAGAAAACTCGATATGTGATATATCAAAAAAAAAATATGTTTGCGCGATAACTGTATGGTATTTAATTGATTTTACGGGTTCTGTAGTGTGTACCAAGTTTGAGAGAAATTGGCCCAGCCGTTCTTGAGATAGGAAACTGCTCCTTTCCAGGTGTGCACGTGCATTAGCATTTAGCACCCTACATATGGTAATGTGTCGTTCGATATGTGCCCGTTGACAGTCCCAAAATTCAGCACAATCGGCCCGGTAGCGGCTGAGTTATTGCAAGAATAAATTTAATTTATTTACTGGCGAATCCCCCTGGCGAGAGGTGCCTTCCGCTACCGTTTGTTGTCAAAGGTTCAATGGCCTGCCTGGGCCTGCCTGCCGAGGCCACCGATCCGATTTCGTGGGAAAATACGCGTAACGTTATCAAAACACGGTCGCATGCTTGAGTCATTTTCACAAAAGTTTATTGACTTTTCGATAATATTTTGGGTGGATATTGGTCAGAAAAGAATGCTCTTTCCGAATATGTAGGTTTCATAGCCATTGATCAGCGTTTTCAATACGTTTTGATGTTGTAAAGGACATCGCGTTCTGCGCGAAATAGATTTTCAAATTAATTTTTCATTATTAAGGAAATGGTACGGAGCATCAGTTTTTGTTTGCTATTCTCTGATTACACATACATTTGTCTGCAAAATGATACAACACCGATTTAATTCCGTCAAGCCGTTTTCCAGCGGCATCGATTTTCCCGTCACAATGCACGAAATCGGTCATTTTTTCACAACCGGGGGTATTGCCTTGCACGTGACGCGTGCTATACTATAAAACCATATCGATACGCTAGGCCCATCTCTCCTCTATCGAGTGGTGTAAACCGCTTCTCGCTGCGACCCTTCGTTGCCGATTTATACAGCCGGGAAGCGGGCGCCGCAGGCCGGTTTTCGCCCGATCGTCGATTTGACCGTTTCCCATGTTAACCCTATGGCGCACGCGAGCGCGTGCCGACGGTGCACCCCTGGACAAATCAGCCCCAAATTTTAATACAAAGGCCGCCCACGCCCACAGATTCGGCATGCCAAATTTCACGCCGATACGCGGCGCCTTTCAGGCGCAATAAGACACATAAGGCATGACACACGGATGGATGGAGATCGTACAGACAACTTATAAATCATAATATAGACTAGAATACAGGTTTACGCGATAACTGTACGTTTGGATAGATATGGTTGATGGGGCATTAGTTTGGTTGTCAAAACTTGTATGTTTTTATAAGTAGGGTTGAGTTTGATATTTACTTCATTTAATTGTATAGTAGGTAGGTATGTTTTTTCGAGGAGCACTACGGATCCCAAAGTTTGGACACGGAATCATTAAAAAAAAAACGCCCGCCCGCCGCCAACCGCAAACGCCGCAAAAATAAAAAACGACCGCCTCCAACCGCAAACAACACCGCATACGCCACAAAAAAACCGCCCGCATCGCCCGCCCGCCGCCAACCGCAAACGCCGCAAAAAAATAAAAAACCGCCCGCATCGCACGCCCGCCCGCCGCCAACCACAAACGCCGCAAAAAATAAAAACCGCCCGCATCGCACGCCCGCCCGCCGCCAACCACAAACGCCGCAAAAAAAAAAATGGAAACCGCCCGCCCGACCGCCGCCAACCGCAAACGCCTCGAAAAAATGAAAACCGCCCGCATCGTGCGCCCGCCCGCCCGCCGCCAACCGCAAACGCCGCAAAAGTAAAAATGACCGCCTCCAACCGCAAACAACGCCGCAAACGCCGCAAAAAATAAAAACCGCCCGCATCGCGCGCCCGCCCGCCGCCAACCGCAAACGCCGCAAAAAATAAAATGCGCCCGCATCGCACGCCCGCCCGCCGCCAACCACAAACGCCGCAAAAATAAAAACCGCCCGCATCGCACGCCCGCCCGCCGCCAACTACAAACGCCGCAAAAAATGAAAACCGCCCGCCCGACCGCCGCCAACCGCAAACGCCTCGAAAAAATGAAAACCGCCCGCATCGCGCGCCCGCCCGCCCGCCGCCAACCGCAAACGCCACAAAAATGAAAATCGCCCGCATCGCCCGCCCGCCCGCCGCCAATCGGGAACGCCGCAAAAAAGCGCTATTCTACCCATATACATGTCCTACCCTACCTATACGCTACCTACACCCTACCCATACCCTACTTATAGGCTCTATTCCCACCTTACTCTAGTGCATTCCTATAACCACCAGTAAGTCGTAACATAACATACCTACGTTCTTAACATGAGCACTGTAAACTACTCTAATTGTATTCTATCACATTCGTTTGTTCAATATCTTGGGTATTATTAATGCTGTAAATGGTGAAAGGTTGTTCTCTTGAAGATTGCCAGGTAGGTAATCGAGTGCGCATACCTACCCAATAAGTGCGGCTCGCAAAGCCGCCCAAACATTCCTTTTTACTCGCTAGATGGCAGGAGCGTCAAGCGCCTGAATGGACGCTGTGCCGCAGTGCCGCGTCTGCCGTATCACCGCCTGAATGCACACTGTACCGCAATACTGTCTCTAGGGCATATGCACACATACAGATGGACACATTTGTTTTGAAATTATTTTTGTTTTAAGTGTGACCAGATTTACCCCCGAGAAACTGATCCTGAATACGCCTCTAGCTAAGGAAAAGTCGCCAAATTTCCAACCCCTAAGGCGATTTTCACTCGACAGCAAAAATACTACAGGTGGGGGCCGATGCCCCCCCCCCCCCACCAGTAATAGGGTTGATCGATAATAATGTCTAATACTATGAAAAAGCAGGAATAGCTATAAGCAATTAATGTAACCCTAGCTGATAGCTGCTAAGAAACACACTGAATCTAATCGCACGAAACCTGCACCAAATTTGTACTTACCAGATGGCCGTCGTGAACCGGCTACTATCCATTGCGTGGCCACCCCACCTTTCCTGTTTCGCGCTAGATGGCAGAGCCATCAAACGCCTGATTGCATACTGTACCGCAATGACGGTGCTGGCGAATAAAGCCGCCTGAGTGCATACTGTACCGCAATGTCGTGTCCGCCGCCCCACCTTTCCTTTTACGCGCTAGATGGCAGAACTATCGAACGCCTGATTGCATACTGTACCGCAATGTCGCTCCTGGCGGTTATAGCCGCCTGAGTGCATACTGTACGGCAATGCCGTGTTGAAAGTTGGTTCGCTACTCTTAAATGAAAACACAGATTAGGGTGGATAGTGACGGAGAATAAGCGGCAGAGGATTTAGAAGCATTGAGACACATTATTAAGTAAGACTACATGCCAACTTTCAGCGCAATCGGCCCAGTAGTTACCGAGATATTGCCATTGTTGCAAAACCAACACCTCTTCGTTTTGCACGTGGCACGTGCATAAGTGGTCACCCACGTACATCGGGAATAGTCCAATACTTGGTAGAAAGAATGAAGCTACCCTACAAAAATCACCGCATGTAAATCGGTCAAGTGGTTGCTGAGATATAAGCCTCGCAAAAGCGTGACCACGGCCGGCCGGCCTAGAATACAGGTTTACGCGATAACTGTATAGATTCGAGATATATGTTTAAGGGGACTAGGTCACCCTCCCGCGCCTACCGGCGCTAATCGTCGTTTTAACATCTATATAGAAATCCCTGCCCGTCCTAGGTCACCCTCCCGCGCCTACCGGCGCTAATCGTCGTTTGAACATCTATATAGAAATCCCTGCCCGTCCCGTCCATAATGCCCGCTTTTCTCTCTTTCTTTCTTTCTCTCTCTCTCTCTCTCTCTCTCTCTCTCTTTCTTTCTTTCTTTCTCTCTCTCTCTCTCTCTCTCTCTCTCTCTCTCTCTCTCTCTTTTCCTTTCCCTTTCTCTTTCCCTCCCTGCCTCCATCCCTCTTTCCTCCCTCCTCTCCGCTCTCTGACTTTGTCGATCACTGATCCAATCGTATGCTTACTTACCCCTCCCCATCCGTCTCTCTCCCTCCTCTCCCCGTCTCCTTCATCGCACTTCTTCGCTCCCCCCTCCCTCCCTCCCTCCCTCCTTCGATTTCCTCCCCTTCCCTCCACTCCCTCCCTTCCTCTCCTCTCCCTTCCTCTCCTCTCCCCTCCACTCCAATCCGCTCTTGGTACTGAAAAAAGTACTGGCTAGTGGCTTCTTCCCCGCCCGCGCCGCAGATACATATAGGTTTTTACATATGTCCCAGTTCAAGACGCTATATTGGTTTTGGTACGATCCTTATACTAAACATGATCGTTAATTTTTCAGTATTTCGTGGAATTCTGTAACTAACCTATCCCAAATCTGAGTGACTCGCCCCGACCCCCCCGACCCCTTTCCTTCCCTCCCCTCCGAGCTCCCCCCCCCGAGCCAACACTCACGATCGGTAATGTTTTCAGTGCTAAAGATATAATAGTGCCTGCTCTGTTTCCGTCTCCGTCTTCCCTCTCTGTCTTAGTGTCTCTGTATCTGTCTCGTCTCCGATTCCATCCCCATCTCGGTCCTGGTTCCTGTCCCCGCTCCTGCTCCCGCTCCCGCTCCCGCTCCCGATCTCTGTCTCCGTCCCCGTCTTCGTCCGCCTCCCGCTGACCACTCCATCTCCGTCTCCGCCTCTGTCTCTGTCTCTGTCTCTGTATCTGTCTGCTCTCCGATTCGTCCACGTTTCCGTCCCCGTTCCCGCGCTCCCGCCCGCTCCCGCTCTCTTTGTCTCCGTCTCCGTCCCCGCTCCCGCTGGCCGCTAAATCTCCGTCTCCGTCCCCGTGCCCGTCCCCGTTCCCACTAAACATAATCGATAATCTTGTCACTATTTTGTTGAATTCTGTAACCAACCTATCCCAAATCTGGGTACCTCGCCCCCCCCCCCGCCATTTAGGATCGGTTATGTATTCATAGCGGCCGAGTGCCGCAACTAAGCTACATTTTAAATACGTCTCTCGGCTCCATCCTCTTCACTTTTTCTCTCACCGACTTAGTCATTTGCTCACTTACCCTTCCTTCTTTCCCACCATCATTTACTTTATCCGTATTTCCGCTGTCCGGCAGCGGCCGCTCTGGCGGCACCGCAGTTACCGCACCAACCCCTCCGCCCGCTCGCCCCACACTGCGCCGCCGCCGGCCCGTGACTGCGGCCGGTCGGTCACGTGGGGACCGCAGCGACCTCTACGGGGTCGCGACCCTAGCGGCCGGGTACTGCAACTAAAGATGTAAGTACGTTTTAAAAACATCCCGAGGTGGAATCGAACCAGCGACCCACGCCACAGAAGTCCTCCACTCAACCAACTGAGCCATCAAGGACGCAAACCTCATCCCTTTGAATAAGCCGTGGTACTCTGCACGGCTTGATGACATGGTCTGGTGCGTATTGCGGTGTTTTACGGCGAAGTGGTTGGGAGCAAATTTGGTTTTAAATGAAGGTTATACGCCGTGTTTCTTGACCAAATTTTCAGAACAAGAGGGCAAAAGCAAGACAGTAGGCTGGAATTGGTTGTCCAGCGGCGACATGCACGTTTTATGATCGGCGATCGCCGGTCGTGTGAGCTGACGTCACGCAGACAGTCAGCGCCATCTCTGGAGCGTCGGGCGACATAGTTGAGGGGCCGAGTTTGGCTATTTGGGGGGTGCAAATGCGATTAAAAATGTGCCGCGCACATAGCCACGATCGAGAGCTGTCGATTGGTGGTTGAATCGTGTCTGTAGGTGGTGTGGTTTGGGCGGGTATTCCAAAAAACTGAAACGCTTCACGTATTATTTATTGTCGACGATTACGATTATTAGTTTGGTTGTTAAAACTTGTATGTTTATGCCAGTAGGGTTAAGTTTGTTTACTTACTTCATTTAGCTGTATGGTAGGCATGTAGGTATATGCGCTTTTCGAGGAGCGCTGCAGATCCGAAAGTTTGCTCGCTTCGCTCGCACTTTGCTCGCTTCGCTCGCTTGATGATAAATTTATTTTATTTATCGGTGAAACCTCTACCAAATACCTGTACCTGCGCCTATACCCGATCCTAATCGCAAACCTGTATTCTTGATATCCACAGAGTTGACTTCCCGAGCTGGCTCCCATCGTTTTCACTCAGTTTTGCAAGCGAAGAAAATGAGCCTACCGCGCGTGCTCTCTGCTCGGCGCCGGCCTCGGCCAGCCTGGGGCAGAGATGCACGCGCTGACGCCGCACCCCTGGTCCGATTGCGCCCATCTTTTGATACGATCGTCCGCCCCACCCAAAGTTTGTGCCCAGTAAATTTCACGTCGATACGCGGCGCCGTTCCGGCGCTTTAAGACACATAAGGCTGACGGATGGACAGACAACTTGAAATTTATTAAGTAAGACTAGAATACAGGTTTACGCGATAACTGTACGTTTGGATAGATACTGTTGATGGGGCCATTAGTTGGGTTGTCAAAACTTTTATGTTTATATAAGTAGGGTGGTGTTTGGTAGTTACTTCTCTTAATTGTATAGTAGGTAGGGATGGCTTTTCGAGGAGCACTACGAATCCAAAGGTTTGGACATTGAATTATTAAAAAAACACGCCCGCCCGCCGCCAACCGCAAACGCCGCAAAAATAAAAACGACCGCCTCCAACCGCAAACAACACCACAAACGCCGCAAAAAACCGCCCGCATCGCGCGCCCGCCCGCCGCCAACCGCAAACGCCGCAAAAAATAAAAACCGCCCGCATCGCACGCCCGCTCGCCGCCAACCACAAACGCCGCAAAAAATAAAAACCGCCCGCATTGCACGCCCGCCCGCCGCCAACCACAAACGCCGCAAAAAATAAAAACCGCCCGCCCGACCGCCGCCAACCGCAAACGCCTCGAAAAAATGAAAACCGCCCGCATCGTGCGCCCGCCCGCCCGCCGCCAACCGCAAACGCAGCAAAAGTAAAAATGACCGCCTCCAACCGCAAAAAAACGCCGCAAACGCCGCAAAAAATAAAAACCGTCCGCATCGCGCGCCCGCCCGCCGCCAACCGCAAACGCCGCAAAAAATAAAAACTGCCCGCATCGCACGCCCGCCCGCCGCCAACCACAAACGCCGCAAAAAATGTAAACCGCCCGCATCGCACGCCCGACCGCCGCCAACTACAAACGCCGCAAAAAATGAAAACCGCCCGCCCGACCGCCGCCAACCGCAAACGCCTCGAAAAAAATGAAAACCGCCCGCATCGCGCGCCCGCCCGCCCGCCGCCAACCGCAAACGCCACAAAAATGAAAATCGCCCACATCGCCCGCCCGCCCGCCGCCAATCGGGAACGCCGCAAAAAAGCGCTATTCTACCAATATACATGTCCTACCCTACCTATACGCTACCTACACCCTACCCATACCCTACTCATAGGCTCTATTCCCACCTTACTCTAGTGCATTCCTATAACCACCAGTAAGTCGTAACATATATTGTATTGTATTGTATTTACATTTAAGAGCGATCCACATACAAAGTGCGTGGCGATTACTGCTCCTATATAACATACCTACGTTCTTAATTAACATGAGCACTGTAAACTACTCTAATTGTATTCTATCACATTCGTTTGTTCAATATCATGGATATTATTAATGCTGTAAATGGTGAAAGGTTGTTCTCTTGAAGATTGCCAGGTAGGTAATCGAGTGCGCATACCTACCCAATAAGTGCGGCTCACATAGCCGCCCAAACATTCCTTTTTACTCGCTAGATGGCAGGAGCGTCAAGCGCCTGAATGGACGCTGTGCCGCAGTGCTGCGTCTGCCGTATCACCGCCTGAATGCACACTGTACCGCAATACTGTCTCTAGGGCATATGCACACATACAGATGGACACGTTTGTTTTGAAATTATTTTGTTTTAAGTGTGACCAGATTTACCCCCGAGAAACTGATCCTGGATACGCCTCTAGCTAAGGAAAAGTCGCCAAATTTCCAACCCCTAAGGCGATTTTCCATCGACAGCAAAAATACTACAGGTGGGGGCCGATGCCCCCCCCCCCACCAGTAATAGGGTTGATCGATAATAATGTCTGATACTATGAAAAAGCAGGAACAGCTATAATGTAACCCTAGCTGATAGCTGCTAAGAAACACACTGAACCTAATCGCACCAAACCTGCATCAAATTTGTACTTACCAGATGGCCGTCGTGAACCGGCTACTATCCATTGCGTGGCCACCCCACCTTTCCTGTTTCGCGCTAGATGGCACAGCCATCAAACGCCTGATTGCATACTGTACCGCAATGACGGTGCTGGCGAATAAAGCCGCCTGAGTGCATACTGTACCGCAATGTCGTGTCCGCCGCCCCACCTTTCCTTTTACGCGCTAGATGGCAGAACTATCAAACACCTGATTGCATACTGTACCGCAATGTCGCTTCTGGCGGTTATAGCCGCCTGAGTGCATACTGTACGGCAATGCCGTGTTGTAAGTTGGTTCGCTACTCCTAAATAAAAACACAGATTAGGGTGGATAGTGACGGAGAATGAGCGGCAGAGGATTTAGAAGCATTGAGACACATTATTAAGTAAGACTACATGCCAACTTTCAGCGCAATCGGCCCAGTAGTTACCGAGATATTGCAATTGTTGCAAAACCAACACCTCTTCGTTTTGCACGTGGCACGTGCATAAGTGGTCACCCACGTACATTGGGAATAGTCCAATACTTGGTAGAAAGAATGAAGCTACCCTACAAAAATTACCGCATGTAAATCGGTCAAGTGGTTGCTGAGATATAAGCCTCGCAAAAGCGTCACCACGGCCGGCCGGCCTAGAATACAGGTTTACGCGATAACTGTACAGATTCGAGATATATGTTTGAGGGGATTATTAGTTTGGCCGTTAAAACTTGTATGTTCATGCTAGTAGGGTTAAGTTTGTTTACTTACTTCATTTAGCTGTATGGTAGGCATGTAGGTATATGCGCTTTTCGAGGAGCGCTGCAGATCCGAAAGTTTGCTCGCTTCGCTCGCACTTTGCTCGCTTCGCTCGCTTGATAATAAATTTATTTTATTTAGCGGTAAAACCTTTACCGAATACCTGTACCTGCGCCTATACCTGATCCTTATCGCAAACCTGTATTCTTAATATCCACAGAGTTCAAAGTTTAATGATCTCCCGAGCTGGCTCTCATCGTTTTCACTCAGTTATTTAAGCGAACAACTGAGCCTAAAGCACGTGCTCTCTGCTCGGCACCGGCCTCGGCCAGCCTGGGGCAGAGATTCACGCGCTGACGCCGCACCCCTGGTCCGATTGCGCCCATCTTTTGATACGATGGTCCGCCCCACCCAAAGTTTGTGTCCAGTAAATTTCACGTCGATACGCGGCGCCGTTCCGGCGCAAGAAGACACATAAGGCTGACGGACGCAGACACGACTTATAATTTATTAAGTAAGACTAGAATACAGGTTTACGCGATAACTGTATGTTTTGATATGTATGTTTAACGGATGCATTAGTTTGGGTGTAGAAACTTGCATTTTTATTGGTATTATTTGTGTAGAACTGGGTAACTGCTTTTAATTGAACTGTAAAGCATGATGGTGATGCATGCGAGTTGTTCGAGCCCTTTGTAAGTTAGGATGTTACTCAATTCAACCCTACCCTACCCTACCCTACCCTTGCACTACCCTAACCTACCCTACCCTACCCTACATTACCCTACCCTACCCTACCCCACCCTACTCTACCCTACCCCTACCCTACCCTACCCTGCCCTACCCCTACACTACCCTACAATAACCTACCCTACCCTACCCTACCCTACCCTACCCCTACCCCTACCCCTACACTACCCTAACCTACCCAACCCTACCCTACCCTACCCTACCATACCCCTACCCTACCCTAACCTACCCTAACCTACCCTACCCTACCCTGCCCTACCCTACCCTACCCTATCCCTACCCTTACCCCTACACTACCCTACACTAACCTACCCTACCCTACCCCTACCCTACCCTACCCTTACACTACCCTACCCTACCCTACACTACCCCTACCCTACCCTACCCAACCCCTACCCCTAGTCCCTACCCTACCCTACCCTACCCTACCCTACCCTACCCTACCCTACCCTACCCTACCCTACCCTACCCTACCCTACCCTACACTATCACCGACAGTCCAAGTTTCAGCTAAATCGGCCCAGAAACGGCTGAGATAACAAATTAATTGTATTTACTGGCGAATCCTCTTGGCGAGCGGTGCCTTGTGTCGGCCTTCGTTGTCAAAGGTCAACGACCTCCCGGCTCTGATGCTTTTCACTCAGTTTT